GTGTGATTAAAGGCTATTAAAAATGTGAATTCTACTTTCATAGTTGTTACTGATTTCCTCTTTGAACTCTAGTGAGTAATTTGCTTTCTTCTGGCTTCATTATCTGTGCTTCTGATATATTATAATAATCATTATTTGCCTACTTCATGGAGTGTTAATTAATTAATGCTTAATATAAGATGTGCTTTAGGTGATGAACACTATCATCCCAAACATAATTAATCTTGCAGTATTTAGCAAATGATTGTGCCCTGGAAAGACTGAGTGGTAAGCCATTATAGGACTACTTTATTGACCAACTCTTTTCAAAAGAAGGAGGTGCGTGATACAAGATGTACTGAATGATTATAAACCTATAAACCAACAACAGGGGTGTGGAATAGGGAAGGGAAAAATGGGGAAAAAAACCTGAAAGTCCTCATTTCAATCCAAATCAACTTAAAATGCAAAGTTATAATTCTTTTAGTTCCTCATGACCTCTTTATGTTCACATTTTTCTATTCATCATAGTCATAATGAAAGTAGAGATGCTTAAAAAGCAATGACAGAAACAGTTCATCATTAACGTAGTAATGGATAACACTGAGTCCATTTAAGTGCTTGACATACATTAACTGTATTTAATTCTTGTAACAACTTTGTAAAATAAGGAGTTTTGAAGGAGGTAACAGAGGCTTAGCTATGTTAAATAAATAACTGGCCTTAGGTTACAGAGCTAGTCAGTGTCAGAGCCTGGCTTCAAACCCAGGACTATCCCTACAGTCCACAAGCAGATCTAGTGTTTTTCTTCCCTCACACTTTGCCATAGTAAAAGCCTCTTGGACCACAGAACTTCCCCCAGGGGGTCCGAATATCAGAGAGCCCTGCATGGATACACCAGTTCCACTTGTCTGATTTCTACATATTTGGATCTTGAAGGACTGGCTGTCCTTATTGTGAAAATATTTGCTTTAAGTGTCATCATTGCCCACACAGCAGCTAGTTTTCCTTTTAAAACCTAAATCCTCCATATAGGTAATAGACACTTTGTCAACTGACCAGTTATTTTTCAGGCCTCATTTCTAGCCCCTGCATGACTTCCTTCCCTGCTATATATTCCATGCTAAATCTGCAGAATGCAATTGGCCTTTTCCTGAAAATGTATCATGTGCCTTCTTACCTTATTACATTCTTCTGCCTAGAATACACTTCCCTATCTTGTTCTTCTTCACACTATTTATTACTCAGAAGTAGGAACTCATTTTCCCTTTCCCAAATCAGAAGAATTAAATTATTTCATACCTAAGTGTGTAAGACAGTACTTACATAGATTACAGCATTCATTGCATTTTGTATTTATTATGTATTGTATGTCTGTCATTCTTGTTAAGTATGTGTGAGCGAAACGTTGCCATGAGCTCCTCTTGCGTAGGAACTCTGAGACAGTCAGATCTGTGGCCTTGAAATCCAGCACAATGTTTTCCTTCATGGCAGATCCTCAGCTAATGTTGATGTGACATTTGAGATGACCATGCTTGTGAATTATGTTCCAAAATCACACACATTAGAAAATAATGAATTGTAAGCTACATAATACTCTGAATTTAAACCAGTTTTAGGATGGAATCAAGTGGAGGATCTTTATCTAAAGAGCACAGCAAAGTAGAGAGGCCAGAAGAGGTGAGGGAAAAAGAGTTGGCAGAAATTTGGAGAGAGAAAAATCAGTATCTCAGAAACAGAAATAATGGTTCTCTAAGACAAGTTTGAGAAACTGTATACTTTACAAGAGCAAATGAGCCCATCCTAATCTGTGGACCAAGGGAGATAAAAAGAAAATGGAAAATAAAATCAAGGCCAGCTTCAAAACTGGATAATTATCTAAGACCTATACCGTCCAGCAAACTACTCAATACTTCCTGGGAGAGTGAACAACAATCAATCTAATATGTTAATTCCAAACACCAAATAAGCTTTAGTTGGTCCAGCTAATGTGGTCTTCATTCTGGCTTTCCGGGGATTGCCCCTTAAGAGATTACCTACAGACTATCTGAGTTTCCTATAGCAACCTGCAGAATCAATGCCTTTGAAGAAACACTGATACATTGTCCATCCCCATTGTACAGACTTAGCCTGTGTTTTGACAGTAGTGGTGAATAATTTAGATAACATTACTTTTTCAATTCATGCAATCTCCATTTACTGATATAATTATAGAAAAGGACCATTTCCTGTTTTTGTTTTTCTAAGGCACTTGTACTCGTGTGCACAGGTACCATGCATGAACATGTGTAACTAAGATAATCTTCCATTTTTCTTTGCCACCCAAACTAAGCTATTTTTGGAAAACAAATTTCTATCTTGCAGATGCACTGTCTGACTGATAATTCAGAGGGTATTTTGTACTTTAGTTTTAGAGTAATTTTAAATACATAATCACTGCTAATATAGAAGAAAATACATTTTGTAAGACTAAATAATTTGAAATATTTTAGAAATGGAGCCACTGATAAGGAAAGATAGAAAACTTTTAGATGCACCAGATTTGAAATTCAGGTAGTTGTTTTACCATTAAGTAGAGAAGGTCCTCCTATACAGGCTGTTTTTAAAGAACTTCAAGTATTTTTCAAATTTATTAGTACATAATACTTATATTACCTATTTATATAATGCACATTATTTAGTACCTTAGAACGGTACTTCTCAAACCATCCGGTAAGGGACCAGAATTTTTGTCCCTACACCCCTTTATTGTAAATACAATAAAAATGCACTACTAGAAAAATGAAGATTAAAAGACTAGACATATAAAGTCTGAACCACAATTATCTTATTATTAAAACAGACATGAAATTTCTCTGTCAAATTCCTACAAAAGATTCTAACTACTGTAATTTTAGCAATTATGTGGCCAGAGGAAATAGCATTCAGGCCTCCACTAGCACCAGAGCGTAGACCATACACTCTGCCATAGAATATGCATGCAGTATTAACTCTATAATAGAACTTTTTGTGAGTTTTTGATAACTTTTAATTATTTATGTATAATTTCTACCTTTGGTGAGTATAGTTACAATTTTTATCTACTTGCAATTGTTCATTACACCACTAATGGTTTTTTTACCCAGTTTCTGATGGAGAGATTCCTTCTATTTAATCAGTCTCTCCCACTGTCCCTATTTGCTTTTTGTGATTCTGTTAAAGATGAAAGAGATCTTTCTGTCTCTCTGTAGAGACACGCACCCTATATCAAAAATCTCTCTAAAAACAAAACTTCACTGGGAACCAGCAGTTAGCGTAATGGCTATGTCGCTGGACTCCCATGTAGTCGACCGCGGTTCACGTCCTGGACCCTGTGGCTTAAAACTCACGCTGGGCGCGTGTGCGTGCATGCCCAAGATCCCAAGAGGAGAATGGAGGAGAAGGGATTGTGGCGTGACCATCTCCCATGGGGGTGGTGATTTCTCGCTTTCTGTCTCTATGTCTCTCTCTGTCTGTCTGTCGAGCGCACGCACCCTATAGTGAAAAACCTCTCAAAAAAAAAAAAATTCACTGAATGAATGACTTTTGTTTATTTGATACATTATAATCCAATCAAAGAACTAATGTAGAAACTAACATGACTAGTTCTTGTTGAATAAATGCTGGTTCTTTGGGATTAAAAATAATTTAAAAAAAAAAGATGAAAGAGAATTGTCATCTAATGCTACAGGGTTTTTTGTTTGTTGGTTTTTTTTTTTTTTTTTTTATCTCTATTCAAAGCTTTGTCTATATTGGCAGTTTAGTATACCAGATCATTAGAATTATTTCAGTTGTAACCTTTGAAACAATTACGATGTCTCCCAAGATTTTAAACACGCACAATATTAGCATAGATGTCAATAAAATGTTGAAGAAATTTTTCAAATCTTGAATATATTTGAATGATTTTGATATGATTTCATTTATTTACGCTTGTATACTTCAAATCTAGTAATGGATATTTTGTTAGTAGCAAGATGTGATGTTTGGATTCATAATCTCAGAAGAAATATAAAAACACTCTAAGATTTGAAAGAGCTTCTTTTGATATAAACAAATTTCCTAAATATTCTAAGTACTACAATGAGGTCATTGTGACAACATAAGCAAAAAAAGTTTACATTACTTTTAAACGATCAAGTTTTTCACTGATTTTTAAAAATTATTTTTGTCTAAAGCTAACTCTGAGTTATATTTGATGTTTTCAAAATATACATTGATTGAAAAACATTTGGGAATAGAGAGAGCAGCTTATAAAATTGTAATTAATAATGCAAGTTAGTTTATTACTATAAACTGCTAGAAACATTTAACATATGAGGTTTAATTATCCCAAAAAATGATCTAGCATAAAAGATGCTGTAAAATTCTTTTTTGAATATATTGAAAGTGATGGTTGAGGAGACATTAATATTTGCTTCTGACAAGGTTGGAAAGTTTTTGTCATGAGTATAAGCATATGGGGAATGTCATCTCAAAACTGTCATAATTACAAAATCTGTACCTTGGAATCTATCTAAATTAAGCAAGGAAAATGTTTCATACATTTAAATAAAAATGTTTCTTAGGACAGATGTGATTTTTAGCCTGAACAATTGACTTGTTTGAATAGTACACAGTGTTAATTAGCACAAAGAAAAAATACATTCTGTTTTCTCTGATGGTTTTTACAGAGTAAAATTCAGTGTATATGACGTAATTTTAGTTTTCTCTTTGTATTTCTCTCTTTTCTTATCCTCGTATGCACAAAACAGACAATGGTCGCAATGTCAAAGGTAATGTACGAACACAAATTCGTATCAATAAAAGTGCCCCTTACTTGGCATGTCAACTTGCCTGCTGTATGCCCTGTTCAATGCAACATCTTCATGCTGCCCTTAGCTGGTCCAGGTGCCTGGTGGAGACATCACGGCTTGATTTTGCTGGAGACATTGTGATTTTCTAAGCTTTATCACTGAAATTATTATGAACTCCTTCTTCCTGCAAGAAGTGTAAGCCTAGGTTGACAATGAAGACTTCCTAAATATTTAAAGCATTTGGAATCAAACAAGTATTAAACCATGTATGTTCCAATGTGAAAGAGGCATAAAAGCCTATTTTGGGAAAAATAAATTTTTGGAGTACAAGATTAAATAAAATTCAAAAAGTGCTACATATCAGCATTACTTCACTTGTTCCTCTTTTGTTTCCTTAAAACTAGTTTCACGTTCCTGGATGGCAGGGGGTATGGTTTTAAGCTTACTGTAGTAGTAAACTGTAATGCATGAAAGTCATTTTCTATTTTTTTCTTTATTATACTTTAATCATTTTAGTTTTGTCCTTTTTGAGTCTGAAATCACTGGCATGTCCTACAGCTATTGTAGGGTAATATTTATTTGGGCAATTCTCTGAATATATTTGGATTTGATTGAAAATATGAAATTCACTTCTGTTTTCTACTATATCACAGTAGATCCAAGGATCGCAAATTGTAACGATCGTATGATTCTTATCAAAGTGAAAAGAATTTGAGCTTGATCTGTTAACATATGCCATGCATGCTGCTGTGGGTATGCAAATGGTGACAGTGACTCATTTTGTGCATGTGTGTTGCATGAACATGTCTCCACCAGTAACCATCATTACTTATACAACTCACTATTTTGGCCTCTTCTGTCTGTCATTGGTATTCTGACCACTGTGCAGTTTTGTATACTAATTTCTCAATTTTTTGCCTAATTGATTCAGATATAGTAACAGTTATGAATGAATATACTAGAGACCAAATGTATTTTCTGATCAGCATGCCAGGGTAATGTGAATATAAGTAAAATCATGACAATTTCCTCTTTACTCCATCCCAACTTTATTTTGGAAATACTTCAAGAAGTATCTATGCAGGTGACCTCTAATAGTGGGATTGGATTTCCTCTATGCGATTATTCTATCCTTCACCTGCCCACTGTAATGTTTGTAAAGCAGCAAATTAATGTTGGCTGTAGCTGTTGGTTCAGACTCACGTAACACAGAATGCTACTTCAAGAAACAGGATACATACAGCTCTTGCCAACTTGCCTATGTGAATATGACTAGCTTTAAGACTTCACAACTAGCTATAAGTTAGGAGATGTTAATATTCTAATGATTTTTCAAAATACAGTCAGAAATTCATCTAATATCTAGCAAAAAAAAAAAAAGAAAGAAAGAAAACTGGTTTTGCTTATCTTCCAAGCTAGCAGTTCCCATAGTTGTCAAATAACAGTCATTTTATTTTAGTCTCAGAATCCATTTAAACTCCAACTCTTTTGGTTTAACCCCCCCTCTTTTAAATAGCAACAGTCTTAAATAAAAATTTCCTGTTTTTAAGCACACATTTCAGATCATACATCAATTTTGCAATCATAACTTTAAATATAAATAAGATTTAAGTCAAAATTTGGAATTATAAATATCTAAACCATTGTAGAAATTCTTCATTTATTAATTTTTGAAAATGCATCAACTGATAGTATCATATGGTTTTATCTTTCTTTCTATTAATATGATGTATTATATTTATGATTTTGCATATGTTGAACCAACCTTGTGTTCCTGGAATAAAATCTACCTGATTGTGATGTACAATCTTTTTTATAAGTGGTTGGATATGATTTGTTAGTATGTTGTTGGGAAACTTTCTATGGGAGAACACATTTGCAAACATTAAAATTTAATGCATATATATACTCTACAGTTTCATTACATGTTTAGGCTTTTGGTTTTAAAAATGTAAATAATGTTGAAGTAGCTGCTTCTTTAAAATTTTCACAGAATGGGGACAACAGATAGCGTAGTGCTTATGTCACTGCACTCCCATATGGCCGACCATGGTTCAAGTCCCAGACCCAGTGGCCTGAAAATCACTCTGGGCACAAATTCATATGTGCCCAAGTTCCCAGTAAGAGAATGAAGGAGAAAGAATTGCAGTGTAGCCGTCTACCCTGGAGGGATGACTTCTGACTTTCCCTCTCACTGTCTGTCTCTCCCTCTCTCTGGCAAGTGCATGTGCCCTATGACAGAAACGTATTAATTTTTTTTTCACAGACTGATTAATATACTAACTAGGTCAGGACAATGCACTAAGTGTGTTTAAAAAGTGTGTATTTTATCTTCTTTTCTAAATCAAATTTAAATGAAAGAGTAACACATACAGACACATTTCTACACTGGTTCATATACAAAATGCATAAGACAATTATTTCAATACCTAATTTAACAAAAAATGATTTCTTTACCGAAATGAAACGAATTATTTAGGAATGCATTTCGAACCTCTATTATAGCCTCTGGTTCATTCCCATTGGGTGAGATGTTGACTAAACCCCTTGCACATGTGGTATGGATAGCTTTATCTCCAGGGCAGGTCATTCTTTAACTTTTTTGAAAGTCTGATATAGTGCCTACTACACAGAGAGATAACCTGAATCTTTCTGAAATGTAATTTCCTTGCCTTTTATCCTCAGTAGACAGATACTAGCTGACCACTACAGTCTTGATGTAATAATATAGTAGACAGACAGCAAATTGGTACTTAATATTTTCTTCTAAAACTAAATAATTTCCACGTAACCTTCTTTCTTTAGGATCGGTTTGTTTCCCTTTAATAAATTCCCTTAGCAACTTTACTCCTTAAAATAACTCTTCACACACCTTTCTGGAAAGCATTACCCATTATCAAGGGGGGAAAGCTACTTTAAGTAAATTGCATAGTCTGTGTATAAATGTACAAATCATAATTGTGAAATATATTTCTAATAACTGAGAGGAGTCTACTTCTACCTTAATCACTCATAAACTAATTTTTTACTTCAAATTTAATTTACTCGTTTCTCTGCCTATTCTCCTTTCCAAGTCATCAGTGGACTTTGACCTCCTGAACCCTACATTTTAAATATCATTAATAGACTTTGACCTCTCTTTTGCTTCCACCTCCTAATATCAAGTATCCTTGTATCTCTTTGACATTGGTATGTTCAGTTTCCAACTTGTCTAGAGCCTGTCATTGAATAAGAAAGAAAACTGCTCTTAAGATTGTACAGTTTTAAACTCATCTCCGGCCATGAATCCTAGCAGACTCATAAAGGAAGTAAATTGATTTGATACAACTTGTTTCTCATGAGCTTCACTGGACAGTGCCCAGTAACCCATGATTTCATAAAGATTTGCAAATTGATTTTCAATGGTGACATTTTTCTTCTGTAAATTATATGCCATGCACTGAAACAACGTGGATACTGAATATGAGTAATTTGATGATTTCTTCTTATATACCTTTCTAAGTGTCAAACTGGTTGCCTTGCTATTGACAGTGTTTTTTTTTACTAACCTTAATTAATCTAAATACTGCAGTTGCATTTTTCTTTAATGTTAAGGCACTTTAGCAATTCAGGATTTATTGAACTTTAGCCACATAAACTCAGCATCCTAAGAGGTATTGTACAAAGACCAGGTAGTTTAAAAATCACCTTAATCCTTTTCATTTCTTTCTTTCATTTCCTATTTGACTCTCAGGAACACTGAGAGTCAAAAAAAAAAAAAATTAAAAAGCCTTTACAAAGTGTCAGATGCTCTCATCTATGTATATCAGCACCATCAATAACAGAACACATTTTCCTTTAGTATCCATAATTCATGTAAATAGGTTCATCATACAAATTTTAAATATATTGAAAATAAAATACCTTCCAGTTGCTGCTTGGGCCTCTAGCTTCATCTTTAAAAGCAGGGTATTTCTTTGTAGCTAAAAACTGGCCCACATTACATTTAATAAAACACATGTACTATATTAAAGATGTCGCTAGCTATTGGTTTAATCTAGTTGGTCACCTGTTTTCTATCTCTTCTAATATATTGAAAAATTCAATCTGGTCATCTATCTTGCAAATGTTTCTCTATAGAACAGCAAGTACTCCTATATAGTTTCAAGTTTTACATTCATTTCTATTAAATCTATCACTTCCTTTTAACTCTACCCACTTATTTTCCTTAATTTATTTACTTTGTTTTTCAGATTATTCCCCTTTCTTTCATTAGAGTTCTGAATTCCATTTGTTCATTGATCACTGTCAGTGAGGCTGCTTTGCACCTTTAAATCCTCAAACAAGGCCTTTCTGAATATAGACTTAGGATTGAAAAAACACTATTCTGATTTTCAGTCCTTAATTCTTATTCTTTTTGGTTTCATACTGTGTCTGCTTAGGTTTACAATTGGTAAAGTAAGGACATTATTAATACCTACCTAAGTTACAGTGTTGGAAAGTTTTTGATTAGAATTTAGAGGAATTTAAGACAACACTGATCATCTTGCATCTTTCAAAAGACTTCTCCATGCGGGAACCAGCAGTTGGTATAATGGCTATGTCGCTGGACTCCCACGTAGTCGACCGCGGTTCGTGTCTCGGACCCGGTGGCTTAAAACTCATGCTGGGCGCGTGTGCGTGCGTACCCAAGATCCCGAGAGGAGAATGGAGGAGAAGGGATTGCGGCATGACCATCCCCCCTGGGGGGTGATTTCTCGCTTTCTGTCTCTATGTCTCTCTCGCTCTCTGTCTGGCGAGCACACGCGCCCTACAGTGAAAATCTCTCCAAAAAAAAAAAAAAAGACTTCTCCATGTAAGCATCTGCCTCAAACTAGTAGAAATACCCACATTTGTTATACTACAACTGAGCTGTAAATGTCTTATCTAAATTGCATTTGTAAGGAATTTTTAAGTAATAGTTTAAGTTTTTCTGAAATTGTTAAATGTATATATGTGAAAGAAAATCTAGATTAACTTTATAAAACAATTTTTAAAAAAAACAGAATAGGGTAGCATTTTAGAAGATTTGTCCATCAATAATTTAGAGAATTCAAAATAGAGACTAAAAAGAATTGCAAATTCTGATGCCAAGTTTAGCAGTTTAACTTAAACACATTCTTTGTTATACTCATTTTACAATGCTGAAATGAAATTCAAAGGCAAAAAGATCAATTTGGTTCTCAAATGATAATATCAGAAAGAAATAAAACAAAAGTAATTTATAATAAAATAAGTATTTTAATTATCTTTTTTTAGATACAATCCTTTGAGAAGACATGATGCAATAATTAGATATCTGAAAAAAATTATCTTAAGCATCAAAGACATGAGAAAACACTTAGTACACATACAGGATAAAATCATAGAGCAGAAATATGACTAGACAACAAAATAAAAACCATCATACTCAGTAATAATTGGTCAGATTAATTAATGCATGAATTTTAAAAGTGGGAAATAATAAAAATTAAATTATAAATAATATACTCCCCAAAAAAAATTTGAGGAAAAAAATGAGGAAATATGGTATTCTCACAAATAAGCTGGTCCTTGTTTTAAGTACAGTGTCCAAATGATTTTCCATGTGATAAAAATGCAGTAATAAATTGCAAAGAAGAAAGAAACCCCATCAGATGTCAGGGAATACATTTATCTTCTAATACTTTAGACCTTGTTAAGGATTGAGAAGGAGGAGGGATAAGAAAAAGAAATGTCAGTCAAGACATTATAGAGAAGTTGTAGCAGATCTCTAAAAATTTATTTAAATTATATTAAAACCAATAGAAAACACCAACACAAAGAAAAGCTTTCTCTTTTTTTTAATTTTTACTTGTTGCTATAGAGCGTATGTACTCCCTGGAGAAAGAAAGAGAGAGAGAAAGTGAGCAATCACCCCCACGGGATATAGTCATTCCAAAATCCCTTCTCCTCCATTCTTTTATTGGGATTTGGGGCATGCACGCAAATGCACTCAACATGTTTTTCAAGCTACTGGGTCTGGGACTTGAATCATGCAGTGATTCATATGACATCTAGTGACTTAACCACTATGTCACCTAATGGCTCCAAATAAATAATGTCAAGTGTTTAGTTTTAGTTTTAGTTTTAGTTTTTCACTTTTGTCATAGACCCTGTGCATTTGCCAAAGTGAAACACAAAGAGAGAGAAAGTGAGAACTCATCTCCTGGAGGACAATGCCATACTGCCATCTCTTCTCCATTCTCCTCTTTGGATAGGTTTGCACACGTCTGGCATATTTCTCAGGCTATCATGTCAGGACATTAACAGAGCAATCAGTCATGTAGGATTCAGTGTCTTAACCACCATGCCACCTGCTGATCCACAAGTGTTTAATTTTTAAGATACACGATAGATTCTTTACATAGAATCACAAATCATTTTATACATGTAGGATCATATCAATGTGAAATTATTTTGAAAGAGTTTTTATTCATGATTTTTTGATTTTTATAATTCCCTATAAATCTAATAATATTCATCCCAGCACTAATGAAAGAAGACTCAAGTCTCTTTGCTTACGTATTTCTACATGGCAGTTACAAAATGCAAACTATAACCAGATCTGTAAAATTTTGTTTTGGCTATCAAATGTCACAAAGAAGTTCTAAGTAACAATTTTCTAAAATGGTGAAAAAATTTTGAAGACTTTCTGAACAAAACAATGTATAATTTTCCCTCTACCTAATAGTTGCAGCTCTGGAAATTTCAATGTATGTTTAAATTACATAAAAAGCATATTGGGCTATTTATATGTGAAGCAAGTTCAAGTCACAGATCATTATACACAGACTTTTCAATTACATCAGTGCTCTTTTGAACATATAAAATTATTTTCAATGCAAGAGAATTGTGACATTCAAATTTTCTCATTATCTTGACCCAACAAATGCCCTGTAGGGTGATGTACTACCACAGTTGAGACCATGTGGATATAGGTGTAGCCAGTTCAGTGGAGTTTATTGGACTTAGTCAAGGACAATCAAGGTACATTAACAGTGTTTTTATTTCTGCTGATTAATATCATAGATGATTTTTACACCCACAATTCTCAACAACTCTGTAAATAATTTGCTACATAAATTCAATGTAGAGAAGGCTTATATAGAAAGAAAATCAAAAGATGTGCTTAGGTGTTTTGAATATAATTTAACTATATATCACACCCCCCCCATCCACAATCGCTTGTTATTATCTCTTTGTGCAGCTAGTTATGTGAGGAATGAAAGTATGACATTAGAGTTGGAGGAAAGACAATAATACTTAAGATGTCTGAGGTCCTAACATATATTAAAAAATTTAATATTAAAATATACACATAGAATGTAGCCATGGAAAGATACAAAAAGAGAAACACTATCTGGAACATTTTACATTAATAAATTTATGGGGCCAGCAGGTAGCATGGTGGTTAAGGCACTAGACTACCATATGACCAACCACAGTTTGAGTCCTGAACCAGGCGGTTTGAAAATCATGCTGGATTCATGTGTGTGCCTGAGATTCCAAGAGGAAAATGGAAGAAAAGGGATTGCAACATGGCAGTCATCCCCTAAGGGATGAT